TATAACCCACTTTTCACATCCAACCTTTATTTTACTCCACATAATCCTTGAATTAATACATTTACAGTCCCTCTTTTCCTGCCGTAACTTATCATTCAACATTATTGCTACTCCTTCTTTAGCTCTAACTATTTGAAGCCCCTGACCTAATCCCATTTATACCTCTCCACTGAAACTCTCCCACCCCCTTCAGCTGGTTCAGGTGGTTGCTGTCCACCAACCTACTACCATATTAATAATAATTTTAGAAAGTTTCTAGACATAATGGAGAGATGCAGAGTTCACGGAGAATGTAAACAAACCGGGTGAGGCATGGTGACCGTATTAGAGTCAGGTTGGGGGGGAACCATATAGCAAGTTTTGGTCATAATTTGAAATGTCCGTATTGGTAGAATGCCGTAAAGCAAATGGCCGTAAAGTTGGGCCCTACTGTACATATATATAGTACTGTGGTGACCATGTGAATTTCAATCAAACGTTTAACATGGCAGTGTCGCAAGATTATCCCCTCATTTTCTTACTGCACTTTCCACACTTCAATATCAGTCACTAACATACCAAACATTTTTGCAAATACAGTTAGGGTAAGTGAATGATTTAATGGTACAGTAATGCATAGCTAGTGAAATTATTCATTACTAGCCTTCTTGTACAGCCTTTAAACTATTTTTTCCCTATAGTTTCACCATCACAAATAAACAATTCAATCATATAGTGAAAACATTCTGAATGATCAAATTTAAATCTCTTCAAGGTATAGTATTAGTTCTATAGTTTGAGCTCAGGGTCTGTGCCACAGAACTATGTGATGAGCTCAGCTCACTCAGATAAACTGTGAGCAGTAAGTTCAGGCCAAGATATGAAAGAATGGGGTCATGTGGAGTATGTGCACCACATAAAAAAAAGTCCTGCCCCCACAATGCATGATGGGGGAAAAAAATGACAATTTGGTTTAACCCTTTCACTGTCCAGACCCCCAATCTGAAACTTGTCCACAGTGTCCAAGAATTTTCAAAAAATTCTGTTATTTCTCTTATGAAATGGTAGAGAATCTCTTTCTAAAGTACGAAATTTGATCAAAAACTGATATAATTACACTTTCACGAATTTTGCCGTGTCAGCGATATTTACGAACTGGCGATTTTGCCCACCGAGTTTTATTTTAGGCCAATTACATTATTCCAGTCAACCAGATTCTTAGCCATTTTGCTAGTATGTCCTCCATTTTATTGAGCGAGTACAAGAAATCGCCCAATCAACTATTTTGAGTACCCAATAAAGTAATCAGAAATTGGTAATTTGGCATATTTCACAAATTTCAGAATATTCCAGTTTCAAAATAGGGTCCAGAATAAACAATGAAGGCATTCCTGGCACTAAAATAACATTTCCTCTGTTCATTAGTTACATTTCCAGGCTTTACACATGAAGTCCATTTTCATTTTTTTTTCCAAACAATTTTTATTCAAAAAAAAAAAAAAAAAAATTACATACTGTAATGCACTATTGTAATAATTTTATAAATAATATCAGAGCATTCGTGATCGCATGTTAGACCCACCAGCTGACACGTACTGGATACGTGACGTGATTTGTTTAATCTTGAACATCAGCAAATATCGAACATTTCCACTTTGAGCTCAATTTCAAGCTATTTTCCATCCAAAAGCCAATCAAGCATCACATTTCTGTAATATACCTTCCATTCCATCTACTGAGACCAAGAAACCGAGGATACAACCATAAAAACTATGCGAAAATATACCACAAAATTGTCTATTTCCAACCAAAAACTCTTGCTGCAGGTTTTTTCATTATACACCGAGAGCTGCAGGATTTTTTTATATGGTGCACATTTGCCGCATCAACCCGTTCTCTCATACCTAGGCCCAAATTTACCGCTCACAGCTCATTTTAGTAAGCTGAGTTCATCACATATTACAGTACACTGTACTACAGTTGTCAGTGACAGGGTTAAAATAGCAACTTTGCAGTGTATTTTTGGATGGTTTATATGGCTGTATTCTCGATTTCTTGGTATCATTTGACAGAATGGACAATATATTACAGAAACTGAGGACTGAAAAAGAGATCAAAGTAATGGAAATGTTCGATTTTTACCTATATTACAGAGGACACCAATTACATCACTTGCCCAATGTGCATCCAACTGGTCTGTCCAATACACGTTCACGACACTACTGCATTATTACTGACACTACTGCATTATTACAATAATGCAGTAGTCTGCACACAAGTAAATCTTATTTTTTGTGTGAATAAAAATTCAAAATTCATTCATTCATTCATTAGAGATTTGCCGGTACTTCCGGCCCGGGTCTTCTCCAGATGGTGACCCGGCGAATTCAAAATGGAAAGCAAGTGTAATATAGGAAAGGCCTGGGCACATAACTAATGAACAAAGGAAATGTTTCTGTGCATTGTTTATTATTCTGAACCCTATTTTCTGTTTGAAATTGGCCAAATTATGGATATCTGATCACTACTAGTTAGTTGAAATAGGTAAATGGGCAGTTTATTGTACTCAAATAGAATGGAACTAATACTAGCAAAATCCCAAATTTGGCCAACTGGAACAATGGAATTGGCCTAAAATAGGACTCAAAATGGGCAAAAATCATCTATGAATAAATATCACCGAGACTGCTAACTTCGTGAGATTCTCTATCATTTCATAAGAAAAAAAATTTTTTTTAATTCTTGGACCCTGAGAGCATTTCTCAGAACAGGGGTCTGGACCCTGAAGAGTTAACTGACAGTCTACAGCAGACACACCAGAACCATGCCTTGAGGCACTGAGCTCTTTACCTCGCTATTATTGTATTTTGGTCAGTTTACTACTACTTTCTGTCAAAGTTAAAAATCCATTTACTTTCCTTCCTAGTTGTGCCTATAGCCCTCATTTTATTTTGTCATATCCCCCCCCAACCTTGATGACCATTTGAAGCTGTTTAGGCATGCTTTCACTCAGATTCCTGAAGTAACCAATGGATAACTGGTTGACCCAAATATCCTTGATCTGCTACAGGCATGACACTGATTTAAATGTGGCAGGTTTTCAATCTTCTTTTTCATGATATTCTAGGCATTCTCTATAGGACTGAAATCTAGACTATTCCCTGGTAACTGCAATGTTTTTCTCAGTAAACAACTTGGTTACTTTTTTGACCTTGTGACAGAGGGCACTATCAAGCACAAAGGTGGACCAGCCATCAATTTCAAAAATATTCAGCAGGTAGTCCTCAAGAAGGGTGATGTAGCAGTTGATGTTCAACTTAACAACCAAGTAAACCAACTAAAGCAACACCAATCCATGAGGGACTGTGGGTGCTCTACAGTGATCAAGGTTGCATCTGCTGACAACCTTGAATGAATTGAAATGTGGATTGTCTCACCACATGACTTTTCCAGTCATCAATACTCCAGTGTGCATATTACTTGGCAAACTGCAGGTGCTCCTTCTTCATACAGGGCATAAGCAGAGGTTTCCATACAACACAACTTGGCACATGGAGGTTCTCTAGTAGGCAGTGGTGGATGTACTAAAGCAAGAGGTCACCCGGGACTTCAGGATGTATTACTTCGAGATGTGATACAGTCACACAATGGGGGGTTTGTACTTCCCTTCCCAAAACATTACAATAAATGCCAACCACATCACTGTTCTTGAGGACCATTTGCTGAATACAGTGGTACCTCAGGTTACGAACAACTCAAAACTCGAACAATTATGTAATGGTATTTATGCAAGTGCTTTCGTAAGTGCATTTTTGGGGGTCTGAAACGTATTAATCTAATTTACATTATTCCTTATGGGAACAAATTCATTCAGAATCGGCACTCGAACAGCCTTCTGGAACGAATTAAGTTCGTATCCCGAGGTACCACTATTTCCAATGTACATAGCAGTACTATCTTTGTGCATGATAGTGCCCCTTGTCCCAAGGCCAAAAAAGTAACCCAATAGCTTTCTGAGAAAATATTGAAGTTTAAAAAAACAGTGGCGAGGTTCTTATGTTCTTATGTAATATTCCAGACCTCAATCCCATCGAGAATGCTTGGAATTTCATGAAAAAAGATAATGGAATCCTGCCACATTTCACCCGTGTCATGCCTGCAGCAGGAGATTAAGGACGCTTGGAGTCAACCAGTTATCCATTGATTACTTCAGGAATCTGAGTAAAAGCATGCCCAAATGGCTTCAAATCATTAAGGCCAAGGAAGAGGGGAGAAAATATTAACCTAATACCAAGTACTACATTTTTTGTTCTAGTTTATACAGTGGCCTCTAAATTTTTTTTCCATAATAATAATGGGGAGGTGCATATTTTTGCAGGCATTGTACATTACTGAGGCCATTGGTGCATACATAGATCAATGTTTGAATTACAGCACCCTCAAATATACTGTGAGCAAAAAATTATGGCCTAGCCACAAGAGAATGGGTCTGCAGTGGGTGTGCACAATATAAAAAAAAAGATATGCCCCACACAGTGAATAAAGAGAACAGACAACCTGTCTGTGTGGGTTAAAATAGCAACTTTTCATATTTTTTTTTTTTTAACTGCAACACTGATGGGACTTAATTCTGGAGGACGCAACAGTTAAGTAGTTAAAAGCCGATGAAGTACTCAAAGCTAAAGAATACAAGTATTTGTTAAGTATTTTTTTAAACTCAACAGTAATCTCCTAGAAATGAAAGGTCAAAAAAAAAAAAAAAAGTATTTTAACTTTATTATTGCCTCAAAGGGCAGACACGTGCATCTCCACATACATACGAAATTTTTGAGGGTCAGTTACCTGATCTATCAATAACAACATACCAAAGAGAAGTGGATTGAAGAAAATGTACAATAAAAATAAATTTGAAAGTCTTCAAGTTCTCCAGGTACCTCAACTGGGCTATGATGGCAACCCATGTTAAAACATACAGATGTTAGCACTATCAAGGAACATCTTAAACTCAAAACATAACCTACCTTAACTTCTGATGTCTGAGACTCGTGCGACGCTGGTTGGTCTGCAGTTTCAACTCTGTGAGTATCTCCATGTGTTCTAGAGCGAACATGGTGTTCACTCTCTACCTGGTATGGAGAAGCTCTAGGTGAGGAGGGAGGACTATTGGAGGGTTGTGAACCACCCTGAGAAGGGGTGCCGTTTTCTTCGCGTCTTCTTTTTCTTGGCTGTGGACTCGATCTATCTTCCCTCCCACCCCTAGAGGGTGCAGTTCTACTTTCATCTCCTGGAGGTGGTTCATCAGGCACAGCAAGACCTTTAATTTGAAGCATTTCTGCTGCTTTAATAAGCCTTGAAAGGTCATTCTGAGCTACACTAACAACACCAGCATACATATAGCTCAACAATGCCTCTAGTTCATCAGGCTTAACATCCTTTAGCACAATCACTGGGTGCTTGCATGGTGTGTGCTCAAACATGCTCTCAAAGTAAGCACTGCACGTAGACAGCACTAACTTATGGACAGGGTAAAACTTTCCATCACACGCCAGGGTTGCATCTGTGTACCGCTCCTGAAAAAGAAACACACATTTATAACATTATAATTGCCAAACTACCTGCTACGTAAAAAAATTAAATTGACAAACTAAAATAAACACCAATTAAAAAATATTCATATTACAGAGAAAACAATTTGTTTTGAAAAATGAAAATGCATTACTGCAAAAAGTTCTGTTAATCACTAAACTTCCATAGACATAGGGATGTACCAAAGTATCATTACTGGTGGTGTCGACTGATTCTGATGGTGTTGGTACTGGCCAAAAACAGAGCATCAGTATATACAGTAGAACCACGTATCAGAGGGTCCAGTTTCCACGGTTTCAATTATCCACGGTGTACTGTGGCCCAAAAATAACACCTAATTTTGCTCAATAATGGCACCCAAGTGCTAAAGTAGTGATGACGGCAGTTCTTCAAAACTTAAGAGAAGCCCTGAAGTGCTTCCCATCAGAGAAAAACTGCTAATTCTCCACTTATTGTGCATAATTCATCAATTAAACTGTCATAGGTATGTACAGTATTTCGTGGCTTATCAGATGCATATTTTTCCATAAAATGTCTCTAAAAAAACCACCCTGCGTCTTATAAAATGAAGGTCAGTGATGGGAGCTATAAGTTTGGGGTGTGGGGTGGGTTGAAGCTTACCCAGTTACGTCCAATGCTGAGCCACTGAAACTAAAACAACTCCAGCATTTCAAAATTACAGTAAATTAATAATGTTTCAAGACAAACTAATCATGAAATATGGATACTGTACTGGGATACTGGCAGAAAATGAAATTCCTCAAGTGACACCTTCCTTTCTTATTTCTTAAACTACCGAAGTCACAAAGAAGTGTCATTTATGGTAGGCACTTAAAAATAATGCTACCGTACACTACGCTACCGTTATCACATGCTGGGTATTCTCACTTTATTAATAGGTCCCGGTAATCATATTTACCATATGTTACTGGTACTTGCAGTGTCAAATATTGCCAAGTAAATATGGTGGCCCAACAACAGCTGAAGCAGCCATTTCTGTTTATACCGATAGTCACTGACAAAGACACATCAGTATGCACTCTGGGACCCTCACTATATAGAGTTGCGCACACAGCAGCAACTCAAGTCACCAGCGACTGTTTCACCAGTTTCAGTTGAGAGATCAATGGAGTGTTCAGGTGAGCACTAGGCCTATCCTATGTTTTGACCTACCCATAAATCAAATGTAACCTTATTTCTGCATGTAAAATTGCCATAGATTTCAGTGGAGTAAATATTACTTGGTATTAGGCACTCAACTTTTTCTTGATTATTACCTTCTAAATTGGGATGCGTCTAATGCATCAGTGTCTTATAAGCCGTAAAATACGGTGTGTAAACTAATAATGACATATATAGGGTTTGCTACTATCCACGGTTTTGGGTATTCACAGCATGTCTTGGAACATATTCCCCACAGATACGGGGGTCCTACTGTATTGGCAAATTTTGATGGTATTGGAAATGAGGGGATAGGCTAATTTTAGCATCAGTATCAACCTAAAATAGAATACCTATCAGCGTCATCAAAAATTTTATCATTGTCCCATCCATAAGAAGTCAAATTCTTCACTATTATTTCATTCCACATGATTACATTAATTGAATCAGAAGGGAAAAAATTCTACCATGTGGATTTCCAAGAATTTGCAGGTAAACTGATCCAATGCTATTTCTTTCATTCTTTTAAGAGGTAGGTAATATCAAGCATTTTAGCAAACTGACATTTTGGTTGCAGTTTTTAAGTGTTAATACAAAATTGTGCTAGATGACTACAAATTGACCCTTTCACTGTCACGACCCCTGAAATTACAAGTCCTGATATACCTCTGGTGAGTTCTGAGTTTTACTACTCCCAGAGTCCAGCCTTGGGACAGGCTTGTCTGGTGCTTGCCTGGTCAACCAAGGTGGTGATGGTGTTCTGCTGACAAACATAACCATCTTGCACCCGACTGTCAATTAAAAAAAAAAAAAGTGGATATTTTTTAGGTGGTTATGACGCTAAAAATGCAAAATTTGATAGAATTACGCAAGTGCTAGGTTGAAAGTCTGGGTACAAGTTATGAGTCTGATTCTGCCTACTCTGGGGATTATTTCATGCCAGTTTCATTGCTCAATTTAACCCAATTCCTAGCTATTTCGTTAGCATGCCTTCTGTTTATCAACTGAATGCAAGAAAAAGTACACAGTTGGTAATTTGACCAATTTTACATCAAATTTAAAATTCCAATTAAAAAATAGTCCAAAATAAACACCCCATTCCAGTCACTAAATGCAATGTTTCTCTTCATTAATCATGTCCCCACACCTCTCCAATATAACATTTGCCCTTTCATTTTGAATCCATCACATACAATATGAAGTTTTAACTTTATTTCTCAGTTAATAAAATATAACTAAGAATCCCTGGTCATGGTTTAGGCCATCTTAATAACTGTAGCAGACCTAGTAGAAGCTCATAAAGCAGACAAGGAGAGACCCTACCCTTCAGGAAAATCTAAAAAAATTTACTATTTCTGCCATTTTGCAGCATATTTCAAGCCAGTTCTTGTCTGAAACAGATCATCATCATCTCTGTTTCACTAGTATGTCTTCCATTCTATCTCATGATACCATGAAAAAGCCAATACAACATTCAGTACAATTTTTTTTTTTTGGCAGATGAACAAAACAATCACTATAAATTGCATATAACTCAAGTCAAAAGCAAACAGTTAAAAAAAAATTTTTTTTTAACACTGTCTCCCACTGAAGTAGGGTGACCCCCCAAAGAAAACACTTCCAATCATTCATTCACTGTCTTGAAAGAAAGGTGCCAATGTTCATCACATTTCAGATGACCCTCTAAATTCCAACATCCCCACCCAGCCTTCTGAGTGCAGGCACTGCACTCTCCACCTCCATGACAAGTCCAGCTAAGCAATTTCCCTGAATCCCTTCATGTTTCACTGCTCACTCCAACTGCATGTCAAATCATAAAAACTACTTTCCTTCACTCAGTCCTAACACTCACAAGCCCACTGGATGTCCAAGCCCCTAGCACTCAAATCCTCCCTCACCCCTTTCCCTCCAAACCTTCCTGGGATGACCAGTACCCCCCTTCCCTCCCCCATATTTGTATGCCCTCCAAATCATCGTATTTTTCTCCATCCTCTCTTCAACACCTCCTCCTAATCTCCAAACTCCAAATTCTCTGCAGAATATTCACACTACAAACATGACATCTCTACTGCCTCCAGCATCCTCCTAACTCCAACAATCGAAACGCATTCTTCACACACACGCAGAACAACGTTGGTACAATTATACTCTAGTACATTCCCTTTTTGCCTCTAATGGATAAAGTTCTGTCTCCACAGATACCTCAATGCTCCACCTGCCTTTTTATCATCAAGAATATTGTAGCTCATCTCATCTCTCATAGGGTCACCTGCCAAAAACCCACTCCCAAACAGACGAACACATTTACTTCCTCCATAGTCCTTCCCTTCAACCTAATATCCAATCTCTCACTGTCAAGTGGGTTTTCGATAACGTGGATGGGGTAAGAATACTCACGTAGGCTGGTAGTATGTATAATATAACGGAAAGTATGGGAAAGCACCAACAGCCGACCTGCCTCTCTCTGCTCCCTATCTTCGACTGACTCTCAAAGTGCCTACGGGTGACGGGTGTTTGAAATCCTGCTATGGTCAGCAATGAAGGAGCAGCTGGATGACAGGAGACAGGCTGGATGGTAGGCTGAGGCAGGCTGACTAGCGTTCACTTCCACAGTCTGGCTTACTGACTGGCTTAATTGCAAAATCCGGGTCAACCCCTCGGAGATTGAAGCAATTAGCACATGAACTAAGCCAGGAAGCTTGAAAAACGGCTGCAACAGGCTTGCAGGCTGGAGTACACAGGGTGGTGTGGTGAGGGTAAGCTGCTAGCTGGAGGTGGCTGAGACGGTTCACCTCTGACCTGCCGGGACCCCACAAACAGTCTTCTAACGTCTGAAATACCCTTAAATCCACGCCCACACCGGTGCCACCATTTGTCAAGTGGGTTTTCGATAACGTGGATGGGGTAAGAATACTCACGTAGGCTGGTAGCACCTATAATATAACGGAAAGTATGGGAAAGCACCAACAGCCGACCTGCCTCTCTCTGCTCCCTATCTTCGGCTGACTCTCAAAGTGCCTACGGGTGACAGGTGTTTGAAATCCTGCTATGGTCAGCAGCAATATGAATAATCAGTCAGTGATTCACGCAGACGGTTGGTAGTGAGTCATCTACTGGTACACTGGTTACTGGTAACTGGTTACTAGGAACTAGTACTACTACTGAGATCACTGCCTATATTTTTTATCTCTTCACCCTGTTATAATGCTATAATACAATACCTAAAATTCTTACCTTTTCCCTGAGTGTTGATAGTATGTGGCAAAAAGGTAGTTTTATGATTGTTCCAATACAATGATAGCATTCCATCCCCCATCTTGGCAAAATTTTCTCATCTGCAATATAAATATAAATATATTTAGTAAAACAGGTTCTTCATTCTTTTCATATCCAAGCAGCCAGAACTTATCACCAGTGAATGTCACATTCTCCACTCCCCATTGAAAAACCCTGCTTATAATTTCCTGCAATTTTTAAATATCTCTTACCTAAGTGATTTTCATGTTTATTTTAGCTATCTGCAAAAAATACAAAACTGTGGCAAGTATTTTTATCTATGTCTGCTATAAGGTTGAGAAACTGCAGTGATTTGGTAGTGCACTTAGCTCACATACTGTGTGCCCGGTGGTTCAATTCCCAGCTAGCTGGAAACATTGAGCATGTTTCCTTATACCTGTTACCCATTTACCTAGCAGTAAGTAGGTACCTGGGTGTTAGCCAATTGTTGTGGGTCACATCCTGGAGGGGGTAGTATACCTTAAGGGATACCAAGCTTTTTACCTCACTGATGCTGGATTTTGCTTTGTTTACCACTACAGCACTGTGCTCTGTATTACAAACTTGAAAATCTATCTGCCTACCTTTTCCATTATGCCTACTGGTCTCATTTTGTGTGCAACCACCCCATGATCACATCTGTCAACACCTTTGCAAGATCTGTGTGTATTGTAGATTTGGCAAATGTGTTTCACATATACTATCATGGGGGCAATTGCACACAAAATGAGGGCCAGAAATGCTGGTTTACTATTTATTTGGAGAAGGTGATATTATTGGCATTCTTTATAGAAATCTCCTGGTTATGCAAAGCATTTCAAGCAACCTTAAAATAAACTTATAATTACTTATAACTACTATGAACAATTTGAAATTTTAGTCAGGCAATTCGCTATAGTGTTTGTCGAAGTTATTATTCATAACCTCATGTATTGCTGCACAGGATATGCAATATACTTAATTAAGGCCCAAAGAATGCATAGCATGTCAGGCAAAACTTGGTTTATGCTACACTTAAAATTTACCCAGTTAATTCATAAAAAAATTACAAAAAGATATAATTGTCAAGTTGAGTGAGTGGTACTAATTACTTAAATTACAAAACAAAATTTGAGAGTACAAGCATCTAATATATACACGAGAGTTGAATGAAAGCTGAACGATGAGGAACAAAATTTAATGACAACTGGTTTCAGGATTGCTGTCAAGATCACATTAAGGTATGGAGGTGCTTTTTAACAATAACTTTGAAGAAGTTGGAAGAAAGGGCACCTTAGTAATCTTCAGGCAGATTTTAGGGCCTTTTATATAAAGCACTAAGTTTTTACACAGGGTGAGTTAGATACGAGGGATATCAAAGAAATTTAAGCATTAATGCGTTCAGACGTACTGTGCAGCTAAAATAATAGGATCAGAGCAACCCAGGACAACACAGGATCATGAGAGAGCCAGCAAATGCTGCTGATTGGTCACTTCATGCAGATGCCTACATAGCATGAAGGTCCAGCCATGCACAGCCAGTCAGTCGTGCTTCCGACTCCGACCAGATCAGGTCAGGTCACGCTCTCAGTGCTAGATACCCTCATTGTGTGGAGCACAGTGCTCAGAGTGACTGCCATGGAGATCACAGTGCTCAGTGACAGAGCACATGGACATTCATAGCACAGACCTGTGTTAGTTTTCTCACGTCCTGAGACATCGTTTTATGGACTGCATGTTCGTGTGATCAACTACAAGTGTGGGGAGTGTCCTGCGAGGACCATGTTAGTTTACAAATGGCTCCTCGCAGTGACTTGCGTTGTTTGGTGCATCCATCGGTCAGTGTTAGTGAGTGTGGCGCGAATCTGCGTTAGTTTACGCACAATCAGCGCCAGTGATCCATGCCTAGTGCATTCATGCATGTTCACTGACAAGGCTCCAAACATCTGCTGATATTGTGTCAACCCTGACCCCTAAGTGTGAGCTGTGTTAGTTTACGCACAGCTGCGGCAGTTTTTCAGGATTAATGCGCTAGTGTGCATCTGTGCATGTGTAGTGCCCCATCAGTGAGTTTTTATTGTGACTAGTGCAACGCTGTGACCTCTGCGAGGGTGGTATACGACTCTTGGGAATTGTGCCCCACAGCTACGAGCCTCGTGTGGGCGGCTGTGCAGCTGTAGCCAGTAGCAGGTCTGCTGATACATTCTCCATGAGTCACCCGACCATGTCAGAACCAGGAGCACGACCTAAACAGCATCTGTCATGTGGTGACGTCACCCCTCTAGACAACTTGCAGAAGGAGGAAGCCCCGCCCAAGAAGGCCAAGGGTAAGCCGAGTGCCAGGGAAGCTGCCCAGATGGGGCTAAACAGGGGACCGCTGCTCAGGGCTCAACAGGGGGCAGCTGCCTCCCCAGAAGACCCAGAAAGGGCAGGGTCTTCAGGACCCAGCCGTACCAGAGGCCCTCAGATGATCCCCCCCCTCAGACATGGGGACCATGGAAGGGAGCCAGGAGCCTGTTCCTGCCTCCCAGCAGACAAGTGCCGAGGCCTTCCCAGGAGCTCAGCCCCAAGGAGTCTGCCACTACCGAGGATGGGGAATGGACAACACAACATGGGAGACAAAGGACCCAGTCAGCCTGAGCTAAAGCGGCCAGTTCTTTCAAGTTCGTGCTTCCTTCCTACAAGATGGAGAGGGATCTGTTGAAAACACCTGCCACCAAGCTCAGCTGTGATATCACGCTCCGGGGAGAGATCCTGGCCAAGCCATGGGACAAGGAGGCACGTGAAAAACTCAAGGCACTGGCTGCAGCAAACCCAGGGGTAAGGGAGCCGCTCGCACAGGAGAAGGTGCACAACGGGGTCACCTTGCATGTCCCTGTGCTACTGCCAGTGGAGCACTTCCTGGCCAAGCCCAATATAAAGGCCGAGCAGCTGACATCCAAACTCAATAAGGCACCAACCCAGCAGGTGTTAGTCCACCACAGGGGGCCTCTCCCAGCCCACCTTGTCCTAGGAGTGTGGGGGCAGTTCAAGCCCTCTCCCTATACCCCCTGGAGGTGGTTCTGGTGGCAGGGGATATCAATGTCCACCATGCACTACTCCATTCCGTCTCCCGCACGAATGAGATGGGAAGGCACTTGGCCTCAACGTGGAGCCGACCCACCACTATGGCAACTGCTAGACATCACGCTCCTCTCCTGGATGCTACTACTTGGTGTAAGTGGGAAATCCACCCTCACCTCACCAGTAACCATTCTGCAATCGCCACCACCCTGTCACTTCGATGGCACCCTCCATACTCCCCACCTCCCCGGCAGAACACCATGAAGGTGAACTGGCAGAGCTTCCAGGAAATCAAAGCAGTGGTGGGAGACCGCTCTACCCACGATCCAGACGAGGCCACTCAGAGCCTCCAAGCAGCCTTCACCTGAGCAGCCAAGGCGGCCATCCTCCACACCAGAGTCAGAGGAACGCCCAAGCATGACTGGTGGTTCTACGATGAGGACATCAAGGAGCAGAACCATCACATCAACCTCGTCCGCAGGATGCACAGACAACCCCACAGCCGAGTCCCTCTGGCTGCTGAGGGAGATGATACAGCATGTGTGCCACATCTTCCACAGGGTCCACCTGGCAAAGTCATTAGTGTGGTGTGCCTCTCTCAGCCACACCTCTAACCTGTCGGAGATCTGGGCCAAGATTGGCATGGCTACCGGGAAACGCAAGGGCACGGCTTGGGCTCACCACGACCCGGCAGGGAAAGTAGACTGGTGGAACTCTTCACCTCCAGGGCAGCAACGGCCATCTGCCTTAGGATATCCAGGCTGCCCTCATCCCTGGAAGGACTGCCAGGATGCTGGAGGCATGCCAGAAAGATGATGACACTGACACAGACTTCACTGACCGGGAGCTACAGGCGGCCTTCAGGTCCTCAAGAGACACGGCCCGGGCAGGACGGCATCACCCACAGCATGGTCTCGTGGTCAGGCCCACCAGGACATGAAGCCCTCTTGGGGGTCATCAACCAGTCCTGGAGGGCTGGTTGACTCCCCACTGCATGGAAGGAAGCCAACATCCTGCCGATTCCCAAGCCCAGGGACCCAGAAAGCATGAGGACCATCTCTCACCAGCTGTCTCTTCAAGGTGACCGAGAGGATGGTGCTGGAGCGGCTGAGATAGCAGCTTGGACCTGAACACCAGCACGCCTGCTGCTTCACTCGAGGGGTGGGCACCTTCGAGAGCATCACCACCCTCCTAGCCAGCACTGGGTCAGACAAGAGGCCCAAGACTGTTGTCTTCCTAGACCCGGAAGAGGGCCTTTGAGCTGGCCAGAGCAACAACCATCCTCGACCTGCAGTCTCGCAGGGGAGTGAAGGGCAAGCTGCTTGCCTGGATCGCTCCTAATTTCAGGAGAGGCATGCCCGCATGCGCTTCCAGGGGCAGGCATTCACCCTCAGGACCCTGGAAAATGGCACCATGCAGGGCAGAGTCCTCAGCCCAACTCTCAAACGTGCTGATGCACGAGTTGGTGCAGCTGACGTTCTCCACAAGTACCCAACTACTCAGTTATGTCGACGACCTGGCACTCGTCATCCTGAGAGATGCAGCTCAATGCTTCGGGCCCAACGCGACCTTAACCTGTTGGCAACCACCTGCCGCAGACTTGGCCTCAAGATCTCTGCAAAGTCCAAAGCCATGGTCCTGCATGCCAAGGTCCCAGACAACAAGCTGCAGATCTTGGGTATCAACCCAGAATGGGTCAACAGCTACCTATACCTGGGCATGTACACTGGCAGCCATCTCATTCATAAAGCAGGCGGAACATGTCAGGGACGAGCCATGCAAAGGGTCACGGCTATGCATGCCTTGACCAGCCCTAGGGCGGGGGCCAGCCTCAAAGTCCTCTGGATGGTCTACGTGCAGGCTGTATACTCCCTCCGACTACAGAGCAGTTACACTGGTCCATGCTGACTCTACAACTCAGCATTGTGCAGAATGCCGCTGCTCGGGTCATGCTCAGGGTGTCAGCATAGTTGCTGATCCCTGTGTTATATAGCATAGCATATTAGTATCATCC